TGAATGGATAGAAGAATTAAACTTGCATTGGGACTCTACCTTTTAGGCCAGGCAAAAAAACACAGGTAATCAAACGGGTTTAACTGTTTTTTTTTTTTTTGGTGAATGACTGTTTATTATTATAATACAGGACGAATCAAAATGAAAATGAAGCTTTTTCGGTGAATGCGGACCAAGGAACCCGATGACCTAATTAATGATATTAAACCGTCTTTCTTGAGTCTCTTTCCAAATGGGAGCTTACAAATTCGATTCTCTGTGAGCGTGTAATCTACTTCTAGAGACCTAGACGATACTGCCTCTTATTTTTAATATAAAAACTAATTTAATTTTAAATATAAGGTTTTAATCTATTTTATTTTTCATATCTATCTATTTTTTTAAATTAATCCTTATAATGGTTATATATATTAAAAGTTCTATCAAATAGTAGTTTTACTTAATATGTGTATTTTAGAAAACACAACACATATTTATCACGAATATTTAACTTAATAAACTTTTTTAATCAATTCAAATTAGTCAATTAGTTTTTATATTAAAGATGATAAATTGTATTAATATGTACCACATCTTCTCCTTAAGATCTTAATATACCGCTTTCTTTGCTTTCTTTTGCTAGTCTATTAGTGAGTGTAATATTTCTTTGCGTTTTAATAATATGGACTTTGTTTTGATAAAAAAAATATATATATATATATATTTCATCTCTAATATTTATTTATTTTTTTCAATATTTTTATTATAGTAACAATAGTTTTCACTAATAAATTTGATTAGGAAGAATAATTTAAAAAAATAATACTTATTTATTACAAATAATTAATTTAATTAATTTTTTAATCTAATCAAATTAATTAATTAATTTTTATATTAAGAAAGGGGTAGAATATATGTGCGCACTTAGCGAGTTTGACTTTGATTTGATGATCCGATACTCCGATCATTGCCCACATCCTGCCACGTAATTTCACGTGGGTTCAGTTTTTCATATAGTAACTCATTAATAATTAAAATTCCAATTTTTTCTAGATGACAAGTGTCGGACGCAGGCAAAGCGTCGGTGCCAACCCTTCTTTTCAGTCTTTAACCATCTCCTTTAACATAATCCAAATCAATTTAAACGCATTAATGTAGTTTTCTTTTAAAATTAGCCTATTGTAAACGCTGAGGTGCTCCAACTAATAGGAATTTTTAAAAAAATTCCTATTCGCCTTTTTTATTTAACAAAACAAAAATTAAATTTTGATTGAAAAAAGAATATTTGAAGGTGTGATGACGTGGCAACCTTTCTACGTGTCCACCGCCAATGATGATTTCTTGACGCCGGTCCGCCCGTTCTGTGTCGGGAAATCTTTTCATGCGGACAAAGAAAAAAGCATCCACGCAGACACACATATTAATATACAGTATAAAAATTGTCACCAAAAAAATACTCTTCCGGTCTTTAATATAAAATACAATTCTTGAGTTGATATTAGTCCTAAATATAAGACCCATTTCTCATATTTATCAATTTTCTCTAAATTACCCCTATAGATACTCCCTCAACCATAATCAAGCAGAAGAGGGAGATGAGGTATTAAGAAAGATGATTATGGTGTTTTAGGAAAAATGTGTCACTTTTTTTATAATTAACTAACTTACCTAATTTTCTTAATCTAATCAAATTAGTTAAATGGGCCTTATATTAAAGACCGGAAAAGTAATATATAGTATAAAATTGTACCCAAAAGGAAATATATATATAGAGAGAGAGAGAGAGAGAGCATAAAATGTTGTGGCCTTGTCTTGTGAGCTCGAAATTGGGGAAAAAATTGTTCTATATATATAAATTATATTATTTATAAATCATTAATAATATTACTTGATATGGTACCCAAAGTAAGAAATTCACAGTCTAATATAGTCTATAATAAATCACATAAATAATATACAGTAACAATTATTTATACTTGAAATTACATGCAACCAAAGCCTTTTTCTTTTGTTTTAGCTTTGTATGAAGTTGGGATTAAATTCCATTTTTTTGGCCAAAATAACTTAAGTTAAATCGTTATAGGCGTTGAGGGCAAACAAACAAACAAATAAATAAACATTAAGTGTTAGAAACTTTTAATGCAATATATATAAATGTAGAGCCATTTAATCTGGTTTTCAAGAACATTTTACCATAACTTGTCATCACTGCTTCCTTTTTTTTAAACATCGAGCACTGGCCAGGTCCCCTCACACTCACAGACCCCTCTCATACACGTTAGTTAATCTCCCGACACCCATCGAAATTGGAAATAAAATTATAACATTTACAACCTATTCATGAGATATTTTTGGCCAACTGTATTTTTATAAGAATAAATAAAAAATGGTGATATCGAAAGCTAAAGTTAAACAATCACAGGAAATTAAATAATACGACTTCTAGTTCTAATTATAAAACATCATTTATAGGTCTTATAATTAAGAGCAGAGATAATATGATGTGAAGAAATAACGGTAATCAGATTTAATGCTTGTTGGTGTTCACATAAAGAACCTGCAGTAAATTCACAATATACACAATTTGCTTCTTCCCTTTCTGTAAAAATAAATAAAATACTATCTCCCGTCCTTAATATAAGGGTTAGTTGATTAATTTGAGTAGATTAAGAAAACTAGTTAAATTAGTTACTTCTAATAAATAGGTGTTGTCTTTTTTAAAATATCCTTGTTAATCAATTATATTGGCCAGAACTACCATTATTACAAGAATTATCTTTAAAAAAATAGACAAATATAAGAAACAAAGTGAATTGAGGTCTTATATTTAGAACCAAAATAAAAATTAAACGAGTTCTTATATTAAGGATAGAAGGTAGTAAATAAAATCCTTTTTTTGGGTCTGACTCTATGATTACATCTGTTGAACTGTATGGAAAACTGGATGGAGCAAGCTCCATTCAGCGGATAATAATCCTAAGAAGGACAATTGCTTTCATTCCAACTCAATGTTTTCGGCTATACTCTTTGGTTATGTTTGGTAGGAGGCATTGAAAATGAGGAATTGGGATTGGAATTATAATTGAGAAAATCCATTAAAAGAATATTTAGTATAGGAGATTACTTGTTATATGGGATTAGACAAAGCCATAGAGATAGGACTGGGAAATATCACTTCCCCCCATGATATTCTCCAATCTTACATATATGGGTTTGGTTAATCCCATATAATAGGCAATTACCTATGCTAAATACTATTTTAATAATTTTGTTCAATTGCAATCTCAATCTCAATCCAAATCTCTCATTTTCAATGCTTTGTACCAAACAGTACCTTTAATCTATGACCTCCGGTTCAAAAAATAAGAGTTAATTTGTAGAATAATAAAATTGAAATACATATTAGTTTTTATATAATTAGGAAAGACATAGTGTATCAACAATTTGATTTCAAAGCATAATGTTTTCGCTTCAAATTGCATCCTTCCCAACCTGGTGGTTGAGATTAGACGTAAATGACTATTATTGGATCTTAATGGTACTATGAATTTTGATGGGCCCATTTAAAATAACTCATAAGTAGCTTTTTAATCGTGATTTACAGAATAAAAAGCAAGTATGTGGAAAAAATTTTGTCTCGACTAATATAAAATGTACTTATAAGTGATTTTAATTATAACAGTAAACAAGGCTATGGTTTAATACGATACGATTATGAAAGTTGGCTAAAGGGTCATGTAAACCGTTTTTTAGATCGCTGACGTTTATAAAGTATGGCAATGGCATTTTTATAAATATTGATAAATTGTTTATACACGAGGTTTAAAAAGTTTTAAAAAATATATCTAAGTTAATTATCTCTATTATAAAATTCAAACTCTCAATTTAATCAGGGTTATCTGAGCTCATGTGGATAAAGCGAGACAGCTGAGTATTTATCCAGGTAAAAATAGCACTTTAATTTATTGCTTTTTGAACTACTAGTGTACATTATCATTTTGTCGCTAGCGAGTGGGCAATGGTCAATGGCATGCTCGCCATGTTGATTACGATACATTTAACATATTGATTTTACATCATTCACCTCTTGGGTGTAGGAACTTTTCCACACTGCTACAAAATGCCTTATTTACACCTTCCAATACCTGTCTGGTGTATAAAACAGAAAAAAAATATCAAATATACTCTTTTGGTATAAGCAATAGATAAGTAAGAACATTCACATTCAGACGAGTATGAGCACTCATATTTATATACACATTTGTTGGGCTCACATGAACATAACTCATACTCACCTATTTCACTGTAAATTTTCACATTTTGTTTTAAAAAACATTTTCGTCTCTGGTTAAGAGAAAACAGACAAATATGAGCATCCATATAAGCAAACGAATATGCTGCATACTTATTAATCTGTGCGCACAAATATTCATCTGTTTTAAACAAGCAAGTATATAATTTATTTTTAAACTGACAAAAAAGGCCTCAATAACAAATGAAAATAGACCTTTTATGGTGGTGTCAGTTCTGATTTAATCTCATCTTATTATCTTTTACATGACCTCTCCTGAGCTTGTCTTTTTTGGCAACCTACAGTAGTCAAAATGGAATAATCAAAAACTTTCTAGCGGCGGTAACTAAAAATCAAAGTTGATATTATATGCTGTCAAATGGTCAGAAGAGTGAAAAAAAAAAAATCCATCGTGTCTATATCTTATTCAACTGGAACCCAACTTTAGTTCATCAATCATCATCATCCGTTAATGAAAAACATAATATGATGAAGGATAGACATGAACCAATGAATATCTGTCTTTTTGTCTTGTTTGTCATCACCAGAAAGAATCGATCACTGGGTAACGATAATGGACACAAAGGGCGACAGAGAGAGAGAGAAAAGGGAGAGGTGCTTCTGGAGTCTATTAACACCATATATTAAGTTGGTGCATGCTCTTTGTGGCCCTCACCTTTGTAAGGGCGTAATCATGCTCTACGTTCCCTACTTTTGACAAAACGAAGCACATGCCATGATCATGCCTTATAAATAAATTCAAAGCACCCACGCCTTTTCATTGCATTATAAGCTTTAAGCCTTCTTCCTTCTTAGCTTTTCTTTCTCCATTGATATATCTCTCTCCCACTTCTGCCACTTTTTTTCATAGATCATGAAATGGCGCCCAGATCATCTGTGTTCATTGTGATGGCCATTTGCCTTGTTCTTCTGTGTCTCATGTCCCGACAGATCTCTGCTACTTCCAGAAGATTGATAAGCCATGAGGATGCTGCAGGTGGTGGAAATTATAATGAGAAAATCGCTACTCAGGAGCTGAAGAAGAAGAAGAAGAAGAAGAAGATGAGAATGGAGGATTATGGCGGCGAGGACGATCGATCTCCGCCGCATGATTATTCTGATTATGATTTCTATCGAAAACACGGTGATGTTCCCAGCCCCGGTGCTGGTCACTGATATGTGATGTGAGTATATTTCAGTTGTTTTGATTATATATTATCAGATTATAAACTATGAGCTAGCTGGTCTCCGAAACCAGCTGGCTAGTTTTGAAATCTGAACCAATCTGATCCTTTTCCCTGTCCAGATTATTGATTCTGGCTATTTAATCTGGTTTTTTTTTTCTTTTCTCGTTACAGATGATGGAGGGCTTTACGGTGGATTTGGTGGTGCTGTGATGTTTTCTGGGATTAAATGAACTGCTGTGTGTTGAAATTATTCCCACACGTACTAAGCCAGATTAATTGTGTTGGATGGTCCCGGAAAGAAGATTTGGTGTGATATGGTTGTGGACTTGTGGTATGTGGGTGGCCTCTCTCTTTTTCTTTTTTTTTTCCTCTCGTACTGTTGATATTTATATACAGACATATATTTGTTGTGATATGTGGAGGGATTGGAGATGCAAAGGTTGTATATTTAATTTTGTCGGAGAAAATAATGGAGATTTTCGTTTTTGCATCGTCACATATAGCAAACACATCTCCCATGTATATTTCTGTATCGTAACTCTATTATATCTGGGGGAAATTGTTCATTTTTCAGTCTCTTTATAGATGTTCTTTCAATTTTAGTTTGGTTTTGTTATTTAAACGTGTTTGTGGTTTGTTTTTCCCAGGATTTAAACATATGGCTCAAAGTTTACAGTTCTTGTCTAGTTATGTGTTCCCTATCAAGATACTCTCTTGGTCCTTCATATAACACTCGATTAATTTTTGAGGGGATTAAAAAAAGTTAGTTGAAGTTAGTTATTTATAATAAATAGATGTTCTTCTTGCTAAAATACCTCTACTAATCATGAGTATTAGATAAAACTACTACTTAATAAAATTTTTAACACATGTAACTACTACAAAGATTATTTAAAAAAAATATAAGAGATAAAGTGGATTGGAATCTCATATTTAAGACCACACTAAATATCAAACTAGCTCTTATTTGAGGATAGAAGGTGGTGTTATGAAAAATTCACCTAGCTAATTACTATGTCCCATCAAGATATCACCATATAAGTAATAAACATGATTTATTCTTTTTTTCCCCAAAGAAATTGACCCAACTTATTTACGTGGAATTCCTTTTGAACAGTATACAACTTTAATTTCCGTAACTTTGATAAATATATGGGTAAATTGCTTACTCTTTCTGTTTCTTATTAAGAGATAATTACCTAATTCAAAGACACTGAAAGATTAATTAAGGTCTACAAATTGATTCTTCTTTTCCTTTTTTCTCCTGAATTAATTATTATCATTTTTCTTTATTAATCAGTTGGACTAGCTCGTTTTATTTACTTCTCAGGAGCATTTCAAGAAAAATGATTTTAAGTCCTCGAAGAACCTTATAGAAGTAAACCAAACCCTTCGAAGTATTATATGCAGGGAATCACGAGTTAGAGCTAAAAAATTAGAACTCAATAAATAGATTAGCGAAGCTAATCATGGGCTACAAGTAACAAAATTGACAGTCATTTCATGAGAACTCGGGCCCAAAACCCATATACGGAGGACAAAACTATGTGAAATGCACTAATCTTTTACAACATGATGAATCAGAATTTAAATTTTTGATTAAAAAAGTGTCGGCATTTAGTTTTTTAATAATATTTCAAATAAAATTACTTCTAATTAAAAAAAATATGTAAGGCGGCAGTTTCTTGCAATAGCAGTCAAGGCAAAATCATGGTGTCAGACGACAATGTTATTCAGTTACAAGTGAAAATGTATGATGAGCAGTGGAAGGCGAGAATACAGGCCATCTCTTGCGTAACTTTGATCTCGTATTTTACCAAAGTAATTATTAGTACCAGATTTTAAATAATTTTTTCCCTTGTGACCTGAAAATATAATACAAGGTACTCGATTCATTTTCCCCACTATGTGGTTGTGGTAAATTTGTAAAATACTTTTAAAAAAAAGTATAAGAAAGAAATAATGTATATAGTGTATACACATTAATCATTACTGACATCACATTTTGTTTTTGCTTTAAAATAGTTTCACTAATTTCACATTTCCAAATATCATAACCATTTGGTAGGAAGTGTACTCAACGCAGTTCTTAATCTTTTTCCCCAGGCAAGGGAAAAAAAAAATCATAATTTTTTACTTCCAAGCATCAAAGTGATCGTTCACGTTGATAAATTTTTAGTTTCATACAGTCAAAAATATTTTTCAAGTTTCTCAGTTAATAATTCGAAATTTCTTCGTATTTTTCATAAAATATAACCTGAAGAAATATACAATAACGGAAGGAATATTATTTGAATAAATAAATAAATAAGCTAATTTTATACTGATATAGCATTCTAGTTCTAATCCTTAATATAAGATATATTTAACTAATTTAAGTGGATTGAAAATATAGTTAAATTTATTATTAGTAAAATATACATGTTGATTTTTTCAAAATAACTTCTAAAATCATTTGCTTTTAATAAAACTACTCATTTATAGCAGTTGTCCTAATATCTGTAATCAATAAGAATAATTTTTTAAAATAATAAAAATAAGGGATAAAATAAATGAAAGGTTTATATTTCAAACCAAACTCAATCAGTCAATCCCAACCAACTTCTAAATATTGCAGGGTAAAGTTTATTTCTAATTTTATTTTTTAGGTACAATTTTATTTATAGTTGTATTTATAAATTAGAGATAAAATTACACAAAAATAAGTGAAATTTCATTAAAAAAATTAGAAATGAAAAATGAAAAATAAAAAAATGAAAAATAAAATTATACCTTAAAAATAAAATTAAGGTACTAGAGTACTAAATGAACAGTGACAATCATAATCGTTGAGGAAGAAAGCGGGAGAAGAAAGACGCGTGGAGGGGTAATATAGGGAACAGGTGGCAGTGATGGGGGGCGACCAAAAGCAAATTATTGGTGAATGGTCAGGGGACACCGGACAACGAACTGCAGGCTTCAGTGAATGGTTTTTGGCATTTCTGTGGATGCAACAGTGCCACGCCAAAACCATTCTTTATTTCCTCACTCGCCTTTCATCCTTATAATTGATTATTACTCCTCCTGTCCTTAATATAAGACTCAATTATTGAGTTAGTTTTGGTCCTAAATATAAGATTCATTTTTCATATTTATCAATTTTCTCTAAATTACCCCTATAGATACTCCATCAACCATAATCAAATAGAAGAGAGAGATGGAGTATTAAGACAGATGATTATAGTGTTTTAGGAAAAATGTGTCACTTTTTTTATGATTAATCAACTTACCTAACTTTCTTAATCTAATCAAATTAGTTAAATGGATCTTATATTAAAGACTGGAGGAGTATTATTATTCTCTGCATCTCCGCCTCCCCGCCTCCCCGCCTCCCTGCGGACCCTGCCTCTCATTTCAAGTAGAGAAAGGCCTAGTGAGCAAATGGGTTCAAAACATTCATAGTATTAAAAAAGTTATCAATTATAAAATTTAATCTGTTTTTTCTTAATTACTACCGTCCAACTTTAATATAGAATTTTATTTGAATTTTATTTTTGTCCTAAATATAAAATCCCAATCTACTTTATCTCTAATATTTATATTTTTTTTTTTCAAGATAATTTTTCTAACAATAATAGTTCTAGTCAATACACTTGATTAATAAGGATATTTCAGGAAAGATAATACATATTTATTACAAATAACTAACTTAACTTCTTGTCTTAATCTCATCAAATTAGTCAACTAGCTCTTATAATTAAGACCGGAGGTAGTATAAACAGCGTTCATTCAAATTTTAAATTTTGCTTTTACTTTTCATCTTTACTCACTTTATTTATTTCAAGTTTTGTTATCAATTGTAAAATAAGTTATTCCCATATATAGATTGGAGCAAATTTGAGTGGGGTCAATAATTGAGGCCACACAATGAAACAGCCGCCCATATCCACATGCGAAATAATTGTGCCCTCCTTTACCTACTTCCTGTCTCATTAATTCAACATCGACCAACTCATAAATTGATATTGGAGATGATAAGCAGTTTTACTTAGAGAGAGAATAATATAAGTTTAAATATTAAAAAATATGTTTATTGATGGGATTTTAATATTAATGCTTATGGCTTAACTGAGACTTGATTTGAAAATACTTTTAATTGCACAGAAAACATTCCATATATTTCTCATATTTTTTCCTATAATATTTAATTGTCCGACCAAAAAGGACCACAAAATAGAAGCCTACTTGAAATCAATGTCAAATTACATACACTGTAGAGCTGTTTGGCAATCCTCAAAAGTACTTCCACGAAATATTTTTTTACAAAACAAAACAAATTTCTTTACATATTTATTTCATAAACTGTAAAAACACTTTTGAAATCATAGTTTAGTTTCTATTCAAATATTCCCGGCTATCCTCCCAATACTGAGAGAGATACATGACGTCACGTTTGTACCCTGTCGCATCTGTTTTGGTGCTTGCTTACATCATTGGGGAGTTGGGCTTTCTGTGCCCACAATTTCTGGATGACAAAGGTGGGAGATCATCAGGAAGGATATATCATTCTTGAGGTGGATATATGGTTAGGTTCTCATGATGGAATGGTAACAGTGGTCATGGTGGAATCGGTGGACACCATGAAGGGTGATGGATGATACTACCCAAGATATAAATAAATAACTAATTTAATAATATTAAAAAAATTAGTTAAGTTATATATTTATCATAAATATGTATTAATCTCTTTAAACTATTCTTTTCAATCATATATGTTAAAATTATTCTCTGATAAGAGTCCTTCAAAATCAATAAGGATATTTTTAGCAGTTAATTATTCATAGAACTGACAGGTTTTGATTTTTCCGCCCACACTGAGGGGTTTTGGTTAGACACATATACGTAAAGGCGTATGACTTCTCTCCGCTGCGTCCTTTTCTCCGCTGCCCTCCTATACCTAAAACTGCAACGTTTTGGGTGGAAAATAGCGGTCAATGCTTCTTTTTCCTTTTTTTTAAAAATAAGATTCATTATCTTAAAATATTTTTAAAAAACACTTAATATTCTAAAATAATTTTTTTGATATAATCAGCACCGTAAAATATTTTTTCAATAACACTCAGTATTTCAAAAATACACTTAGCACTCAGTGTTATTGGAACCCAAAATTATTTAGGATACTACTGAAAAAATACTTTTAGGGTGCTTATTATAACAAAAATTATTTTAAAACTCTAAATGCTCCTAGAAAAAAATATTTGAAAGTGTTGAGCATATTTTTAGGATACCGAGTGTTACAGAAAAAATTATTTTAAGATATGGGGTGTTCTTGAAAAAATAATTTACGATATTGCTAAAAAACACGCGGGAGAAAGAAGCAGATGGGTTAGCTTTGAAGTGTTTGGTTTCTTTGGGGCGTTTTTTGGCATCCTAAATTATTCTTTTAATATCTTAAAATAATTTTTGGCAGTCCCATAAACTATTTTTTTTTAATAACATTCAGTATCCTAAAAATATACTCAACACCCTCAAAAGTTTTTTTTTAGGAGCATTCAGAGTTTTAAAATAATTTTTTAGCACAATAAGCACCCTAGTACATTTTTCAGTAGTATACTAGTATCCTAAAATAATTTTGGA